CGAACTTTCAAAGGGCCGGTGGGAGTCACATTCCTATGGTGAGATTCCTCGTTTGAATGAATGATACTTAACTTTCTTGCCATGTTCCTTCTCACTTTTCCTTGCTTTGCAGGCCTAACAAAGATGTTGAAATGAGGCCCCCATCCGGAAATGAAGATATCCTCCCATAATCACCTGCTTTGAGGTACGATAAAGAGAAGAAAAGAAAAGGAGCTCTGAGTTCACCGAACTCGGAGAAGAAAAAACAAAAAGGAGGCTAGAACGCAACCCAAGGAAAGCACTGGCGCTCTCCCTCGGACTCAGTCCACCGACTGAGGGTTGAGTCCAAATAAAAAGAAGAGAATTCCGAGTTAGTGGCCCATGTGCGAGGCAACATAGCATTGCCTCAAGCCAGGGAGGCTACTGAGGGGGTAGTGGCCAAGGCCTCCGAACCAGAGAGGGGCGAGGTCGTTTTGCCCCAAGTTAGGGAGGTCGACAAGGAGACCATGGCCAATATTCCTCGAGCAGAGGAAAGTGCCTCGAAGGATGTACTTGGGGTGATAGATCTCTCTGGATCACCTTTATTTACTGACTTCATGATCAACGAGGCCCATATGCTGAAAGGGTGCTCACACGAGGGGCCTCAAAGGGCAGAAAATTCTTTCAATAACTTCTTTGATGGCTTAGAGTTTATCGCCTTAGAGGACGTCACCGGGTTTGGTGACTTATCGCTACCAAAGAAGGTACCGTCTTTGAGAAACATCGGGTTTTCTTCGAGTCTGAGATTAGTGGACTGGTTCCCGGCTCCGAGTGCAGATCCTGATCGGAAGCGTTCAATCATTATGTCTTTCCCGGAGGATGCCCTTTTTTGAATAACCGAGCCACCTCCTCCCTCAACCGTTGGCAATCCTCTATTCTGTGGTCGTGAGTGCCATGATATTTGCACATCTGGTTTGGATCCCTTTGGGCTAGGTCAGATTGTAGAGGTCGAGGCCATTTGGTATTTTTGATGCGTCCGATAGCTAATACGATGGCAACAACATCAATGTTAAAGTTATATTCTGATAACCTTGGTGCTTCTTTAGGTCCGATAGGCCTGTTAAAACTATTCTTGCTCATGAGTCTTCGACTGCTCTAGCCTCGGTCATTTCTCCATTCATTTTGCATAGAACCCCGTCCGGACCCACTGTTTATTCGATCCTCATTGTACGGCTGATACCGATCCCTATTTGGCCGTGGTTCACGATCGATATCTCTCTTGACTCTGTCGATGGGTCTAATAGGATAAACGGACCCGGAAGGAGCCCCCAGTTGATCATCTTCGACTCTGATATTCGATTGATATCGATTATGCACATCAGCCCAAGTGACAGCCGGATATCCTATTACATCCTGCTTCAACTGTTGTGAAGCCACCGAACTTCGAACATTGAGTCATTCGGTAAAAGCTTGAACGGCCCAATCATCAGCGACTGATAACAAATCCATCCGTTCCATTTGAGACCGAGATACAAAATCTCTGAGCATTTCATTATCCTTTTGCCTTACTTTGAAGAGGTCTAATTTCCTGTTTTTGACCTAGATAGCTTCGGCGTGTTCTTTCACAAAAGAGTTTGCAAGCATATCAAATGAGACAATAGAATTAGGGGTAAGTTGTGATACCATATCATAGCTCCCTTTGATAGGGTTTCTCCGAATTTCTTTAGCAAAACAGACTCGATCTCATCATCCTCCAAGTCGTTCTTTTGATGGCGCATGTGTATGAAGTGACATACTCGTTTGGTCAGTCGTTCCGTTGTACTTAGAAATCTCAGGCATGCGGAATTTTTTAAGGATCGGTTTTGGAGCCGCACTCGGAGGAAAAGTTTTTTGTACAAACTTTTTGGAATCCAAGCCATTCAATATCGGCGGCGCTCTTGGGATCAGGTTGACCATAGAATTGTAGGTTTCCACCTTGCTGTCGTCTGCTTCAATTTTCTTCTCCCTTGATTCTGTTTATTTTGTCAGCTCTTCGAGCATTTTTATGATCTCGGGGTTGTTACCTGACGCGTTCCCACTCGACCTTTCCGCGACCGGTTCCTCCCTGCGAGTGATTTCTCGAGACGGGTCGGGCTCGATCCTGCTCAGTACGCAGCTCTGGTTTTGCAACTGAGCTTTTGCCGCCTGTTGAGCCTGTAACATTTTGAAGATCATCCGTAGATTGACACCGTCTCCTACATTGTTTTGAGTATTTTGTGCTGTCGACCGGGATCCACCACGGATGCTATTCTCTGGGTCAGTAGGGGGCTTGTGTCGATAGCCACGTGCAAATTAACATCTAATAGATCCGCAATTGAAATTCCGACGGGATTAACGGGAGGTACCTCGTTACCGGGCGATATGTTATTGTTTTCACCGTGGTGACCAGATTAATTGTCAGCAGGTAGAGGTGCTAATTATGAGTTTGACATTTTGAGCTTAGGCCTGAAATCAGAGACACTTCAAAGAACAAGTGTAAAATAGTGTATGTTATGAAAATTTGTATCAAATAACCACTATTATCCTTAGCCCCACGGTGGGCACCAAACTGTTTACCCTCAAAATCGGATAATAATTGAATTTATACGTGGTTTTAAGGATACATGATCTAACTTGATACAAATTGAGAAATCAGATTAATATTGAAATTAATGATAGAAAAGTAATTGCAAACCACACAAGTTGGACAATCTTGGCCTTGAAGGTTGGTCACCCTCGAGTCAAAAGTGCCTTAATCGATGTCGGAACAGAATGATAAGATAATAAGAACTAATAACAATAGTATATTACTTCTGGATGCGTGCTACAATGTGTATTACAAAGAATCAGACCCCCTTTTTATTGTAGGGGAGTCCTGCTTTAGATACAATTCTATATGCTAATTAACCGGTCTCTCATTGATACGTGCCGAGATTTCCGCCGTGATATTCAACCGGTTGCAGATATTTCGTCTTTCCGATATTGGGTCCGATAATGTTTCCTCGGAGTCAGGGTACGTACCAGAGTCACGGGCTCGAAGATCTTGAAGACGTATATTCTGACTTCGTACTTTAGTTCGAAGGAATCCGGAGTTGATCTTCAATCTATCACGTTTCGGTCCCGATCCGTCATGCAATAGATGAACCCCGTTTTGACCGTATACATCTCCAATTTTCATGATTCCATAAATATTTTTCGTGGTTGTATTAATTACCGACTCATCTAAAAGCAGGAATTTCGATCTCTTTTTTGTTTGTCTTTTCTTTTTTTCAAATTGGGATTAGGAGGTAAAGAAATGAGGTTTGAAACTTTGGATAGTGAATTTACAACAACAACAACAACAACAATAACAGCCCAGTATAATCCCACAAGTGGGGTCTGGGGAGGGTAGTATGTACGCAGATCTTACTCCTACCCTGAGGGGTAGAGAGGCTGTTTCCAGGAGAGCCTCAGCTCAAGAAAGCACCAAGTGACGATATATTAGTACCATCGATAGACTCCTAATAAAATAACATAAAATACATAACATAACATAAATGAACCTAAAATAGCAGAATAACAGCAATATAAGAGAATATAGTAAATACGAGCGAGATGAAAAGTAAAATAATACCCAGCGCATAAAGCCCTGCATCAGTAGCTGACCAGTAGCATCCTAAGCCTAACTCCTAACTGGCTAGGCTCACTCTAGTACGCTGTAGAAATATTCACAACTTCCCCCTAATCTTTAACCTTAATGTTCGACCTCCACAATTCCCTGTCTAGGGTCATGTCCTCAGTAATCCTAAGTCGCGCCATGTCCCGCTTGATCACCTCTCCCCAATACTTCTTAGGTCTCCCTCTACCTCTTCTCGTACCCACCACCGCCAATCGCTCACACCTCCTCACAGGTGCATCAGTGCTCCTCCTCTGAATGTGCCCGAACCATCTAAGTCGTGCTTCCCGCATCTTGTCCTCTATGGGAGGCCACGCCCACCCTCTCTCGAATATCTTCATTCCTAATCTTATCCATCCTTGTATCTCCGCACATCCACCTCAACATCCTCATCTCTGCTACTTGCATCTTCTGGATGTGTAAGTTCTTAACCGGCCAACACTCGATACCGTACAACATGGAAGGTCTAACTACTGCTCTATAAAACTTACCTTTTAGTAATGGTGGCATTTTCTTGTCACACAGGACTCCCGTCGCTAACTTTCACTTCATCCACCCCACCCCTATACGGTGTGTGACATCCTCGTCGATCTCCCCGATCCCCTGGATAACTGACCCAAGGTACTTGAAACTATCCCTCTTAGGTATGACTTGAGAGTCAAGCCTTACTTCTACTCCCGCGTCCGTCGGCTCGTCCCCAAATTTGCACTTGAGGTGGATAGTGAATTTAGTGCAACGAAATACGAAGAAGTTTAAGATATCATAACCATGCACTATTTATTATGGTAGTTCAAGACTTCGAGTTAGCTTCATGACGTACAGTTCATTTATTGTCTAGGCATAGATTAAGTTAAATGTTTGCTATTTGCTATCAATGCGACAGTATGTTAATATAAGTCAACTTAAAAAATTATAAACTCAATGGCATAACCATTCTAATTATTAGCACTTTTTAAATCGATACGTATGTTAGTCATTAATTTCTGAAATATTATAATTATATACTTATTATTAATGTGAAAGTCGTCTGTTATAAATCAACTAATATGACAACATCAGTGCACAAAACATAAACTCAGCGGCATAATTTTTTTTAAGTTATTAGACACGTTTCAAATCATTTGTATGTTGGATATAAAATTGTGAAAATATTATATCTTATTTACACAACTTATACATGATCATTCAATTGCCACCAGTGCTTGCACCTAGTATGATCATCATATGGAACTTTTATACTTTATATCGAACCAAACACTAGAAAAATTATCAATAAAATAATTTCACAAGGTAAAATATTTTTTTACAATTACTACTCGCTCCAAATTTATATAGCAATAATAAATTAAAAGTACAAGAAACATTTTGATTGATAAACCATAAAGGAAGGAATGAAGGTAAAATAATTGAGAGGTGCTGAGAATATCTTCTAATTACATGAGACAATATCAGTAGAGAGAATTGTAGGTCCAAAATGTGGCGAGAATGGAGACTATGCATATAAAAAGTGAAGGAAGAAGAGTAACATTCAAGAGCATACTCTCCCCTAAATACCCGGCAAGAGTTATAGTCGCATCTGCAATCACCCGAGCGATGGTTCCCGCTTCTGTAGACAAGAGGCCGCCGTTGTAGGTTCCACGTGAAAGTCTAGAGGACATGACTCGTGATAGGAGTGACAAATTTACACCTGGAGCAAGCGAAAACACCGATTTATAATGTAGGTGTAAGAACTAAAAAAAATCGCCATTTTCATCAAGAAGATCGCCACCTTATAAGTTTTGTTATATGCCAAAGAAGTGCTATATAACTATGAACACCACATATACATATGTTGGTGAACAGAAGCAGATTTAAGATTTAAATTTAATGGGTTCAATATTGCACTGAATTCATTAAAGGGCAGTCGGGTGCATTAAGCTCCCGCTATGCGGCGGGTTCCGGGGAAGAGCTGGACCACAAGGGTCTATTGTGCTGAACTCCTTATATTGTTAACACTACGACTTCAGATCTAATATTTGTTGAGATTTTAACAGGTTTTTACATACATATCTGTATTTCGTATCAAAAGTTCCGGGTTCAGATGAAAGCATAGTCAAAAGGCTACATCCGCCTTTGTTAAGGAAAGATTGATTTATCTAAATGTGCTACAGTTAGCTTTTTCAAGGAAGAAAACATAAGGGATCATACCTTCTAAAACTTCAGCAGATACAAACAATAAGAGCCCTGAGCAGACATATTGTGGCACAGAATACTGGAATACAACTTGAAAGCTCATGAGTATGCCAAGACAAACCATAATTTCAGATGCCAACAAAATTTGCCTGCAAACAAAAGAAACTCAATATTCAAATTCTGATGGTAAAGATTTATCGTCCTGACTTACCGTTGAATAAAAGTTGCCCAATTTCTGTCTAACTACAACAACAACATATCCAGTATTATCTCACACCGTGGGATCTGAGGAGGGTAGTGTGTACGCAGACCTTACCCCTACCTTGTGAGGACAGATAGGTTGTTTCCAATAGACCCTCGACTCAGGAAAGCATAAGCACCACATTAATGAAAATATAAACAAGAAATTCATATGAGGGTAATGCATTTAATTTCTGTCTAATTAAATGCATTTATTTTCACCTTGATCGCAATATTAATAGCTAGGTATTNTTTCCCCTCATTTTTGCATTTATCTTATTTTTAGTAGCCCAATAATCTCTATAAGACTACATATTAATCAAGAAGAAGATTCAGCTTCTCTTTAGTTTCCTCTTCTTTTTTTATTTGAATCAATAACGTACCCTTCTGAAATGGTGAAATATGAAGAGGTCGATAGTACCTCTTAAATTCAAGGGCGGATCTAGCATGTCATCTACGGGTTCCCGTGAACCCACTAGCTTTTGTTCAAACAGTGTAAATGTGTTCTAAAAATTCATTAAATATTTACAAATATTTAAATGTGAACCTAGTTACTATTGAAAATTTACTCGAAGTCATTGCAGGAACCCATAAACATTAAATCCTGGATCCGCCTCTGCTCTTAATTCTCATTAAAGAATCACCCTAGCTTCCCTTTATATTACCCACACATAACCAAATTCTTTAAGCTTAATGAAGAACAAAAACCAAATCATGTAAGTTGCCTTTCCTTCGTTTTCTCTTTGTTTTTGTTTTTCTTTTGTACATTTTTGTTCCTTACTTTTATTTCTAACCTAGCATATTTTACTTTTCGTAATTTGTTTTGCTTTGTTCTTCGTTTTATTTTTTCTTAAAGATTCTCACATGTACTCGAATTCTTCCTTCATCTTCCTTTGTTTTAATATACATATTTAGTGACAAAATCACCCGTGTGGCATTGATCGGATTGATTCGGTTTGATTTTAACTATTTTCATCCATTACACATAATTAGAGAGAATGTTTGCACCATGTGGTCTCTTAATGATAATCTTGCCATCACTATCATCCCTAAAGCAGTATTTAATTATTAAAGTATGTAGTAGTATTCTTCCTTCATCTAAAAGAAAAATTAGAGATATGCATTATTCTTCTCAATGAGACACTCTAAAGTTTCAGAGGGTGTTTGGATTGGCTTATAAAAAGTACTCTTTTAAGCTAAAAGCCAAAAGTCATAAGTTGATAATACCATTTTTTAGCTTTTGGCTTATTTTCGTACTTTTTATGCCTAAACGTAAGTGCTTTTAAGCATTTTTTATTATTACCAAACAGCACACAAACTAAAAAAGTGCTTAAAAGCTAATAAGCACTTAAAGTAAGCCAATCCAAACACCCTCCAAGTCCAGTCTTCATTCATTGATAAATATTTTCTTGTATGCAAGTTAACTCTATTTTCAATGGAACTAATCGCTTAGCTCTCCTTTTGATCATATTTTCTCTTGTAGCACTAGCACTACTATTACTGTGTACTCAAGAGGATACTATTACTCAACATGATATATCCCCATTTTATCGTTTTCCTCATTTTTAACGTTTCTCTTTAATTTTGTATTCAATCCTATTGCAAGAATAAGAGTTTACACTATTGTTATTTTCCTCTTTTTTTTTTTTTTGTAATAAAAAAGCAACATTTATATGTTGTTTAATGACTACAAACAGTTATTATTTTTCCTTCTACTAATTTCTGTAATGATAAGCAATGTTAGTGTTATCTAATGATTATAAATAGTTGCATTTGGTGAAGAGGATAAGAAAATGAAGGGAATAGAAGAGGGAGCTGGGAAATGGATGAACATTGAATATTGAGTGCAGAGGGAAGAGAGATCGAGTGAGGGAATCAAATACTTATTTTTGTAAAACAACATATAACATCATTGTCTTTCTTAGATGATCACCTTATTATCTTTCTATAGATCAAGCTAGAAAGACTTTAGAATTCGATTTAGGTCTAAAAAATTTCGGTTATATTTTTACGGTTTACTTTTTCAAATGAAATTGTAAATGCTACTAATATTTTATTAACTTATATGTATATATATTAATTACTTATAGGTGTATATATCATACGATTCTTAAGGTATTGTGTTTGACATGTATCAGACACAAATACCTATAAAAATATACAAGCTACTAACTGACCTATATAAAAAAAGGCTACTAAACCAAAATTTCAATTTTAGATATCCTTTTGTTTTATAGGGATCTAATAAAATGATTTAAGACAATCCATTTGTAATAAAGTAGTGGATTAGTGAACATTATTACCGCGCGAAGCGCGGGTAAGTTTACTAGTTTGTTATATTTTTATGCAGACATAGCTGACAAAACATTTTAGGCGAAGCCATGAAAAATATAGATTACATGCATGATCATTCCGGCGAGAAATTTAAGGAACCAGTGAACAAGTGTTTAGAAAGCAAACATCCATAGTATATTCTTGTAAAAAAGAAATTACCTGTCCTCAAACATGTTACTAATATAGCTCCCAACAACAAGATTTACTGGAAGAACGGTGAGGCCAAGACACGCAAGAAAAACTGCCACAGTGCTTGTTGACCAGCCAAAATAATATGTCGTGACGACGCTAGATTCTGAAAGTAAAATCTCCATGGCATATTTCAGCATAAAGTAGATTAACAATTGAACCTGAATACAACAAAGAGTCGTGTGAGTGGTCACTAAATGAAATGCCTTTCTATTAGACAACCAAAATATAGACTTCAAAAGTGCCCAAGAAGAAAAAATCTGTTAGCAGTATGTATCTTCCACTTTGTGTGACAAATCAGGAAAAGAGAATACAGTTCATGTTTCTTGATAGGTAAGAGGACAATACATAATATCAGATACAAGCTTCACATATAACTATTTCAATGTAGTAAAAGATGAAATGTTCTAAGTTGATCCGTAGCATGTACGACCACCAGCAAACAAAGAGATTTTCCTTCAGGGATCTGGTTATAATGAGTAATTATATGGAATTGTCAGACATTATAACCTTGCCAGTCGTATGCTGAATTTAGCAAGACAAGCTCTATATGTATTCATTAAGCACAACATGTTTATCTACAATGTGTATTTGTAAACAAACAACATCAGGGAAGCAAGTGACAGATACCAGTTGTTGAACTCCAAGAGTCAAATTCGCAGTGAATAATATGTAAAGAAATGAACCTTGGCCCTAATCGACCCTAAAAGTTAGCTCATGAGATGATTATTTTCCAAGATCATATAAAGAGACAAAATATTCCACATCTCACCGATGTGGGGCAATTGAACATCCCTGCATTTTCAGGCCTGCCAAATAGTGTGGACAAACATAAATAATATGGGTACCTAATATCGGGTAAACCAAAAATTGGTATGGGGTTTGAATATAATGAGCCTAACTCAAGTACAAAAAGTTAGCTCATGAGGTGAAGAGTGCCTAAGAGCATAGACGCCTATTCGTTCCTCTTCTAAGAGACCCCCCACCCCCCCCAAAAAAAACCCACACGCCTAGGATATGACATCTAATGGGTGGACAATATAACATGGGACCCAATACCGGAAAACAAAAAATTGCAATAGGTTTAGCTCTGATACCAGGTAAAGAAATAGACCTTGGACATAACTCAACCCCAAAAGCTAGCTCATGAGGTGAATATTGTCAAAACCACATAATAGACCAAATATTCCACATCTCATCTATGCGGGACAACTCAACACCCTCCCACACGCCTAGACCTTCCAATTAGAGCGTGGACTGTTGGGATAAAATAAATAATCCCGCCCAAGAATAATATCCACATCAAATAATAATAACACAAGAGAGTAACAATGACACCAAATATTTTAGCGGGGTAAAATACAATACCCGAGTGGAGCAATATTATCACTATAATATTGCAACTTAGTAGTGTCAAGAAACTACAACTTTGAAAGAAATAACGCTCTTTATTTAACACACTTCACTACAATATTACTACCACTCACTAATTATCTCACAGACAATAATCTGTGGACTACTCTCACTAACTATATGTTGTTTCTCTCTTTATTTTGGTGTGTTTTTAACCGAAACAAAACGCCCTTTTATAGGCAAAGTTGTA